CCCCCGGTCCGGGCTGTGAGCCCTGGGGCCCCGCATCCAGGTCTGGGCCCTGGGGGGCAACGCGACCTCCAGTCCCCTCCCGCCTGCGTGGGGTGAGGGCCCGTGGGCTGTCAGCTCCAAGGAGGGAACTAAGGCTCAGGGAGGTAAGGTGACTGGCCTAATGTCACCCAGCAGGAGGCGCACCCTGGCAGTTGGTTTGGGTTTGTTTTTTGTTTTTGGTTCTAGGGATCGAACCTGGTCCTTGCGCTTGCGAGGCAGGCTGTGGAACCACTGAGCTAAGTCCCCTCCCCTTTCTTGTTTTTGAGTCTTGCCCTGTAGTTGAGCCTGGCCTCAGGTGAACTCCACCTTGCCCGGGTTAATTACTGTTTTTGGTAGTACCGGGGATTGAATCCAGGGCCTCAAGCATGCTGTGTAACACCGAGCTCCATCCCCAGCTCCAGGCAGTCTGGCTGGAGGAGCTGAGCCGTCACCAGGTAAACGAGGGCACACACCCGTGTTAGTGCAGTCTTTCCACCCAGGCCGAACCACACCTCCGTCAGTTCCCCCCGTGGGGCGCCCAGTGGATGTGGACCGACTGGGGCTCCGGGTGAAATCCGTGGCACCAAGCCTCCGCCCGACTTCTTCCTCCAGCACTCAGGACTCTGCCCATTTTCCCAAGCCGGAAAGCCTGGTGTCCCGAGCGAGCCCAGCACCGCCTTCAGCCTTGCCCAGCCACAAGCACTGTGGACACCGCCTTAGAGAGGGCTCACGTCTTCCTTGGCCCTTTCCTGTCAGAGGGGAGGGACCCAGTCTGTCTTGCTGAGCCCCCCTTCTGCTGCCAGGTACCCCACCTCAACCAGAATGCCTGGAACAGCCTGGAGAAGTACAGCCGCAGCCTGACGCGCACCTACGAGAACGTCTATGTCTGCACCGGGCCGCTCTTCCTGCCTAGGTGAGGCTGTGGCCAGGCCGGACCTCAGGGATTAGCACTGGGGTACTATTCACTTGCTTTCTTGGCGAGTCTGTGTCGCTGGCTTAGACCCCCATTCCATCTATTTTTTTTTTGTCTTGAGACAGGTCTCACTATGTAGTTGAGAATGACCTGGAATTCACTATGTAGCCCAAGCTGGTCTTGAACTCTCACAGGGACCCTCCTACCTCAGCCTTGTGAGTGCTGGGACTAGAGGCGTGTGCCACCCTGCCCAGCTATTCCATCTATTGTTGAGGCAGGGTCTGGTTATACAAAGTTCAGTGTAACCTGGCCCTGAGCTTACAGTGATCCTCCTAATTGCTGGGATTACAGGTATGCACAGGACAAACAGCCCCACTCCACCATATCCGGAGCCCTTTGGATACCTCCTGGGCCATCTCTTCTGCCAGTGCACCTGGCTCCAGCTGTCCTTGCCCCTCTGCCACCCCCACCCAGCCCATGTTCTGCATAGATGGAACTGCACAGGTCCCCAACACCCCAGGTCCTCTAGCGTTGTCTGCCCTGCTCACAGTGTCCTCAGCCCTCTAATCCACCCCGCTCTGTGCCCCTGCTTGTTCCAGCTGTTAGGGACTGAGACTTGGGCAGGGTCACTGGTTTCCCTGGTTTGTCAACGACTGGGTTGAGTGAGGAACGGAGTCTGCAGGCTTGGGACAGAACCCTGGCCTTACCGTCTGACCCCTTGGTGCTGTAGGCCGAAGATCTAAGTGTCCTCCCCACAAAAGAAGGCCAAAGCCTGTCACTTCAGGGGTAGAGAACGACTCACTCAGCCCAGGGCCTGGCCTGTGGAGAGGGCTCAGCATGGGCTGGCCAGGGTGGTGGCTTGGGAGCTGATGAACTCCCACTAGCAAGCGCCCACTGAGGTGGGGCTGGAAGCGACTCTTGTGCTGATCCCAACTGGGTGTAGGATTTCAGCCGCTGTGGTCCTGGCCCACTTGGTGTGCTGCTTGGAGACCAACAGCAATCAAGTGTCCCAGAGGTGAGGAGGTTTACAAGAGGCCTGATATTTTCAAGATTTATTGCCACCTGCTGTGGGTGCGGGAGCCAGAGGGAGACTCAGACTCCACGCTGGAGACTTCCCCGGCCAGCAGGGCACAGAGCCTCCAAGCGAGGGGGTGGCCGGGTGGGCAGCAGAACCGGAGTTCGGGTCAGCGGATGCTCAGGGCCAGCCAGGCTCTGGGCCGTGAGTGCTGGGTCTGCTCGCAGGACGGAGGCTGACGGGAAGTCCTACGTGAAGTACCAGGTCATCGGCAGGAACCACGTGGCGGTGCCCACGCACTTCTTCAAGGTGCTGATCCTGGAGGCGGCGGGCGGGCAGATCGAGCTCCGCTCCTATGTGATGCCCAACGCGCCTGTGGACGAGGCCATCCCGCTCGAGCGCTTCCTGGTGCCCATCGAGAGCATCGAGCGGGCCTCGGGGCTGCTCTTTGTGCCCAACATCCTGGCACGGGCGGGCAACCTCAAGGCCATCACTGCGGGCAGCAAGTGAGGCGTGGGTGAGACTCTGGGAGCGGGGCCGGGCATTAAAGTGGTTATTTTTGGAGTCAAGTCGTGACCGTGCCTGTTCCAGGTGACCCCCAGGAACATGCCTGGTTCCACTCCTGCTTTGTGCGTCCTGGTCCTGGCAGAACCTTCAGGTGGGCCGGGCGCCTGCCTGGGTGAGACCGGGCTGCAGGGCGGCCAGGGAGATGAGGATGGCTTCCTGGGAGACAAGCGCAATGGCGGGGCTGGCGGCTGCCTGAGCAGCCAGGAGCTCCCGGGAGGTAGAGGGCAGGGGATTCCCCCGGGTCCTGCTGGCGTGGTGTGGCCCACAGGCTCATGGTGCTTGGGCAGGGCCTTGGAGACAGTCACTGCCCCTGAGACTACTGGGAACCAGCACAGTGCCCACACAGGGACAGCTGGCACTGAGTCTCATCTCACAACACTCTTACAGAGACACATGGAGTACCCGAGAATAGCCACGCCCATGTGCAGGGTCCCTCAGAACCAGGCCGAGGGGCACTGGTCACACAGCTAAGGGAATGGAGGCCCTGGGAGGGGTGGGCAGGGCCCCAAGTGCAGTGTCCTGAGCCCCAGAGAAGAGGCCTGAGGCCCCGGGCGGGGACTGGCTCACCTCTGTGCGGATGGTGCGGCTGCCCTGGCCGGGACACGTGTTGACATACAGGTCAAAGAGGACGCTGGGCTCGGACACCTCCAGGTTGGGGTCCGCATCCACACCAGCTTCCAGCCCTTGGAGGCCCCCGAACACGACCAGTGCATGCCTGACACCCAGAGATGGGTGTCACTGCCCAGTCACCAAGGGCCCCAGTGAGCGCAGCCCCACCCTGTCCCCATGCACATCTGGCCCACTCTGTGCAACTGTCCGCTGCCCAGGCAGCACCCACCGGAAGCTGGGCAGTTGGGCGGAGGCCACATCTGAGCCACGCTCCGAAGTCCCAATGGTCAGGTCGTAGCCATCATGGAAGGGGGCCTCGGCGAACACAGCACCTGGGAGGGGACAACAGCCACCACTGGGTAAGGGGGCCACACCCAGCCCCAACTGCCCCTGGGAGGATGAGGATGGGACAGCAGTGGCCACACCAGGCATGGTCAGGGGGACCAGCCTGACTTCCAGGGGCTCCAGAGTTCTCACTGAGGCAGGAGGCCAGCCGGACGGTGTAGCCCCAGTAGAGCCCAGCTCTCGTTTGAGGTTCCTGCGACGACACAACTGTGCCCCGATAGGTCTTGCAGTCTGCGGGGGACACAGGCTGTGAGACGTGGCGGCAAGGGGCTGGGGATGGATGGGCCAGGGACACCTCTGGATACCTGGGAGCTGCTGCTGGTTCAGTCTCACAGTCACCCGAAGTCCAGGCTCCAGGTTCCGATCAATCTTCACTTCCTGGGGACAGGTTGGAAGAAACGGGTGTTCCTACATGGCCAGCAGGGGTCACTGCTCTGTGACCCTGTGGAGGATGGGGGCTGCAGGCCCAGGCCCCCCACAGGCCAGTGGGGGGTCCCCTCACAGGAGACCATTTGCAGCAAGCAGTTATGACAGCTGGGCATATGGCGCACATCTACAATCCCAGCACTAGGGAGGCTGAGGCAGGAGGAATTCTATGAGCTTGAGGCCAGCCCAGAGTACATGGAACTACATAGTGAGAACCTGTCTCAACCAATAATACAAAAACTATCACAAGACACTGATTAGAAACTACAGGTCACTTCACCTCTCTGAATCAAACTCTCTTGAAAAATAGCTACTGTCCCTACAGCAAAGAGCTGGGGAGGAAGTAAGCGGGCAACACTCCAGCTATGATAAACCACAATTATTAGTGTTCAGGGCCATGAACTGATCCCTCAGTGGGTTCGCCTCAGAGGTTCTCCAACACTTCTCCCTTCCTCTGCACCACCACGGTCTGCTTATAGCTGGGGACTTCTGGTCCATTCTTTTGGAGAGGGGAGATCCACACACCTAGAAGCTTCTGCCTTTGCATTTAGGAGACCTAAGAGGAAGCCATTCCCAGCCTGTTTCTGCAATGCGCTATGGGAGAGCCTGAAGGACTTCTTTCTTTTTAGTAATGGGGATTGAACCCAAGTGCCTTTGCACTGAGCTGTATTGAAATTGTGATCCTCCTGCTTCAGCCTCCCAAAGGCTACTGGAATGTAACCACAAATGCCGGGCAGAACCTGAATGATTTTGAACTTGTTTTCACAGGGTTCTGGTTTATTGTTTTGACAAAAAGGATCATCTAATGGAGTTTTTGTTTTGTGATGGAACTCAGGGCCTTCACACTGAGTGACATCTGTAGCCATTTTTTTTAAAGTTTTTGAGACAGGGTTTCACTGTGTAGTTTAAACTATCCTTGAACTCACTATGTAGCCCAGGTTGGTCTTGAACTTGCAGCAGTACTCCTGCCTCAGCCTCCCAGAATACTGGGATTACTGGTGTGGGCCACCTACCTGGCACATGATTTGCTTTTTATTTTATTTTTGATTTTTTGAGACAGGGTCTCACTGTGTAGTTGAGACTGACCTGGAACTCACTATGTAGCCCAGGCTGGTCTCGAACTCACAGTGATCCTCCTGCCTCAGCTTCCTGAGTGCTGGGATTATAGGTGTGTGATCTTGAACTTGCAGCAGTACTCCTGCCTCAGCCTCCCAGAATACTGGGATTACTGGTGTGGGCCACCTACCTGGCACATGATTTGCTTTTTATTTTATTTTTGATTTTTTGAGACAGGGTCTCACTGTGTAGTTGAGACTGACCTGGAACTCACTATGTAGCCCAGGCTGGTCTCGAACTCACAGTGATCCTCCTGCCTCAGCTTCCTGAGTGCTGGGATTACAGGTGTGATTTACTTTTTAAAATAGTGAAGCTGGGGGTGTAGCTCAATGGCAGAGCATGTGGTTGGCAGGCAAGAGCCCTTGGTTTCATCCCAAGCACCAAAAATAACCAAATAAGCCCCAGTGCATTTGCTGCTGGCCTCACCTCTGGGCCATTTCGGGCTCTCTGCTGGCCCAGGGCTGTAACAGTGGGGTCACCTCAGCAGGTCTGAGTTCAGCCTCCCCACCACACCCCTACCCCCGCCGGGTAAGGTGTCCTCAAGCCCCATCGCAGCCCGCCTTCAGCTCCCACCTTCTTCATGCCACAGTTGACGAAGGAGCCGTGGCCTGCCCGAGTGGGCCGGTCCACCACGATGCCCTCGCGGAACTCAGACTCCTCATCCTGACGCATGTGGTGTGGGCTGTCCAGGGGGTTCAGGAGACCTGGGGGAGCAGGGCATGTTAGGGTGAGGTGGGCACTGCTGTGCCACAGGCTTTGCCCATCTCCCAGGACAGAGGTGGTGGACCGGAGGGCTGGGCGCTCAGTACCTGCAAACTGGAGGTCCTGGTGCTTGGGGAAGAAGGCTTTGCGCAGGTACCTGGCAGAGGATGCCGGTCTCAGCAGATTCCCTGGGAGCCCCCCCCAATGCTGACCACCCATCCCCACTCCGGGAGACACCGCCTCACTGTGGACACTCCAGGTACTGCAGGATGCGGGCCAGCTGCACACTCGCCTGCCCTTTCTTGCCAACTCCCCTGAATTCGCCCTCCACAGACCTGGACAGAAAGGGTGCAAGATCGAACTTCTGGCTGCAGTAGAGCTCAGTGGCTAAGCACATAGGGGCCAGGTTCAGTCTCCGCACCCACCTAAGTCCCCTGCAAGAGCTCCTCCCACCCAACCTGACCCCCGCAGTACCCGCCAAGGACCACAATGGGGCATTTCAGGCAGGTGCCCAGGGAGGAGCCAGGTACGGGGGCGGGGCACTGCCCTCCCTTCTCCCCAAGCCCCGCCCCCACGGCCTCTCACCTGGCTTCCTGGCCTTCTTCATCAAACACCACAATCTCATCCACACAGAAGATGGCACAGGCTCTGGCAATCTGGCCAGCCAGGTAGGTGCGGAGTTCGGGGGACTGGGCATTGTCCAGGATGGAGCCCGGCAGGGCCACACTCAGGGTGTAGGGCCGTCCTGGGCAGGGGAGGGGCGCTCCTGGTCAGCCTAGGAGGCCAAATCCCACCCCCCAGCTCCCTTTTTCTGTCCCTGAGGCCTAGGGTGGGACAGTTTCTCACCTGGGGGTAGTTCTGTATGTGTGTGTGGCACCAGGGATCAAACCCAGGGCTTTCCTACTTAGCTACTCACCCAGCCCTTTCTATTTCTTGTTTTGAGTCACAGTCTCACTGAGTTGCCTAGGCTAAACTCAGACTTCTCATCCTCCTGCCTCAGCCTCCCAGAGTACTGTGATGACAGGTGTGCGCCACCACACCCAGCTCAACTGGAGGAATTTTGTCAGCAAAAGAGATCCAACTTCCTTCTCTGGACTTTAGTCCCTCTATGGGGGAAATGGATATGGTAACCTCCTAGGTTTTTCTAATCAAAGCAGACCACTGAGAAAGGCCAGGGAGTGGTCAGGAGCGAGGGCCTAAATTCACACCCTGGCCCTGCCCTACATTTCCTCAGTTCTTCAGCTGCCAAGTGGGAGTAACACTCAGGAGGCTGACGCAGGAGGGTCACTGTGAGTTCAACGCCAGCCTGGGCTACATGGCCAGACCCTATCTCAAAAAACAAAACAAAACAAAAACAAGACATGTAAGAGGACTGTGTAGGGCAAATACTATCCTTTTTTTTTTTTTTAAGACAGTGTCTCGGGCCGGGGATTTAGCTCAGCAGTTCGGCG